GGAACACCTGTTGTGGAACTCCAAAGCCCAGCGACATTATAACATATATAGGAATGACGTCTTAGCAAAAGTTGTTGAGTCTGATGGGCATTTCCTGTTGACTTACAAAAATTAAAGATCTGGAACGTCTCGAATCGTCTCGCGCATCACGTTGTTTTCCCGTCCCCGGGCTTTTAGAATTCGACATCAGACGTTTCAGATCTTCGATTTTGACGACCCCGTTGTCGCTGGCATAAGCAACATCATCTGCATACGAAGTTGCGGGCAGCAGCTAGTAAATAATATAATATAAAATGAATTGTAATGCAACAATTATATTTATATATAAAAGGTCTCTGAATGAATCCATTGGTGATATATTGTAAATAACATGTATAGGTAACTATTTACAATATTAAACTTTTCTGTTATCATCATCATCATCATTACAGCCTTTCACAAGTTCACTGCTGAACTGTTTTTTTATAGGATAGGGTGACAAACTAGCACACAGTCCACCTGATAGTAAATGTTTGCTGTGGCCCATAGAGATCTACATCTATCCTCGATTACAAATCAAAATGCAGATGCGTTGTCACGAATGCTGTCGAATCAGCTGAAGACTGCAGCTTCATTTCCCTTCTAACAGCTATGAGATTAAAGAGTGTCATCGGATAGTTTTTGTATTCTTCTGCGACGGGTCTTGCATATCGTAGCTCCCACTGCATGGACAGTTTCCACGAGCTTATCATTCATATCTTCCACTGCATTGCAATCTTTTAGGCACCGAAAACTATTTTGTAACTCAAGTTAAAAGTTTTCGGGGCTTTGGATTAGTGCACGAGGGGAACGGAGCGTTGACTTCATTAGACGTGACCTCTCCAGCTTAACGTTTAGGTTCAATGTGCCCTTTTCCAATCGGTGATCACTACCAGTTTTCACTCTAGTGATTACTGATACATTACTGAGCTGTTGCCATCTAGTCGTCATAATGAAGTCAATTTATTTTTTTATGGAACCGTCGCGTCGGGGCTCGATCAGGTCCACTTTCTGTGAGGCCGCTTATGAAAGAAAGAGTTCATCATAATGAGTGCCTCTTTCTCCATGAAGTCGGTCAGTAGCTGGTCTCTTGGGTTCCGTTGCCCTATCCCAAATTTTCCTACTTTCAGCTCACTGTTCTTTCTTGTGCCTAGTTTTGCGTTGAAGTCTCCCATAAACACCGTATAGTGGGTTTTGTAGAAATGCATGGCTTTAAAGATATCCTCACATTTTCCTCCACCTCCTCAACGGGATGTACATAGGTTGTTGCGTAAACCTGTATGACCTTTAGCGAATACCATTTGGTGAAAATAAGGTACGCAGCCCTCGTCGACATATTTCCAATCTTTACGTTATTAACGAGAGACTTGTGGACGATAAACTCCTTGAAACAGATGGTCGCCCTCCCGGTGATAGAAAGTTTCCGGATTCAACGATTACCGGGTCCTCCCTCTCTCTTCGGACCACATATAATCCTATAATAACCCAGCGCGACTTATCTATCTCTTCTTCCAGCTCCAGGATCTTCTTGTCAGTCCTCAGAGAGCGTGCGTTAAATGTTGCCAGATTGAGTCGTCTTAGGTGGCATCCGAACCTCCACCGGAAACCATTTTCTGTAGTATAAACATATTTTCAATATCAGTTGCTGATCCCCAGAATAATAATACATCACGTATAACACTGTGATAATCGAAATAAACCAATCTTGCTGTATTCACATCTGTTAACAAATTTATATTTTACTGCATACACAGCGGGACTAAGTCTTCTTGACAAGACCTCAATATGAAGTCGCCATTGTAGACAAGAGTCAATAGTGATGAAAGACTGTGGAATCTACTAACTCACGTATTTTATCTGAAGTATGAAGAGTAATCCTTACATTTGGTCAAATAATTTAAGGCAAATTATTAAGATGTCATTTTAAAGCAAATTATTAAGAAGCCATACTTAATGACTAAATTTGTTTTCAGTGTATCATGATTTACGCAATCGAAGGAGAGGTCCTTAGAGAGGTCGCAAGATTATTACCTTTTTTTATAAAATAGAGTGACAAACGAGCACACAGTTCACCTGATGGTAAGTGGATGGTGTGGCCCATAGACATCTGCTTTTATCCTCAATTATGAATCAAAATTCAGTTGCGTTGACACCCCTGAGGACTAAGATGGAATGACTCGTTTCCAGTAAAGAGGGTCTCCGGTTCTCTACACTCACTATACGAAACACATCAGCATTAAGCTGCTATTGTATGTTGGTATTTTGTGAGTATACAACGTCCGGTAGTTATTGGATAACCTTGAAATGGGTCTTGGTAGAACTACCTAATGTACATTCAGAAAAAACTAAGTAGTACAAAAGATATGTTTTTTTTTAAATATATTTGTGCTACCTTATTTTATTCTTCTTGCACACCACGATCACAAATTAATGAATTCAATCAGTTTTTTATTGTTATAGTAATTTACGTTAACTGAGCAGATATATTAAGCACTACCGTAGCTTTACGATACGGTTGTTAAAACTTAATGCAACACAAACAACCAAACTTTGTTGTCTAACCATTTCTTTTAAACACGAACAGCAATAATTCCCTATTTACATTAGGTATAATGATGAATAATACCACTTTTAAAATCGGCTTTTAACACATATTATTTTAAAATTATCGATCACTTGTGTTGTTTTACGTTTTTAGGGTTCCGTAGTCAACTAGAAACCCTTATAGTTTCGCCATGTCTGTCTGTCCGTCTGTCCGTCCTCGCTTAATCTCTGGGACCGTTAGCACTAGAAAGCTGAAATTTGGTACCAATACACATATTGTGTGTATCAATCACGCCGACAAAGTGGTAAAATAAAAATTGGAAAAAAATGTTTTATTAGGGCAGCCATATGTAAAGTGGGAAGTGATTTTTTTTTTTAATTTCAACCCTAACGTGTGATATATTGTTGGAAAGGTATTTAAAAATGAATAGGGGTTTACTAAAATCATTTTTTGATAATATCAATAATTTCGGAAATAATCGCTCCAAAAGTAAAAAACAATGTGTCCCCCCCCCCCCCATCTAATTTTTGAAACATAAGTTTAGAAAATATGAAAAAAATCTGAAAAGTAGAACTTTATAAGGACTTTCTAGGAAAATCATTTTGAACTTGGATGGAAACAACAGTTTTTGTACAAACTCATAAGTTAATAATACTCATCCGAACTACCATAACTGAGCGTGGCCCGACACCTCTTGGCCGGTTTTTATGCTACGGTTGCTTAAACTTTGTCAAAGTTAATATTTTTCCTTTATTTTTCACTAGAACAATAATTCAAGTTCTTTTTAAAAAAGCCGTGTACCAGGCGGTCCCATAATGAACTGGCCTGATATAGTTCAACGCGACATGTCGCTACATGTTGTGTTGCATTAAATAGTACGTTTATCGTGCACTTAATATAAGAAACATGCATCGACATGAAATGCTTAGTCTTAGTTTAACAGGCATTTGAATAACGAGAGTCGCGTATTTTTTTCAAAATGTCGAAAACTGAGTATCGAAGTGTCATAAAGTTTCTGTTTAAAGAAGGTTTATCCCCTGCCCAAATAAAAGAACGATTGGATGGCGTGTATAAGGAGTCTGCCCCTCCTATAGCACAGTGAAAAATTGGGTGAAAGAGTTTCGCCTCGGGAGAGAAACCGTCGAAGACTTTGGCCACGACGGTCGACCTGTGGAAGTGCTCACTCCCGAAACGATTGCTCTTATCGAAGAGGAGGTTCTGAGTGACCGCCGTTTGAAGATTAGAGGCTTGGGCTCTCTAAGAGCACCGTTCATCGCGCGATCCATGAACATCTTCACATGAAAAAAGTGAGTGCAAGATGGGTACCGAAACTTCTTTCAGCGGTACAAAGACAGGAAAGAGTGCGCTGCGCTTCGGAGTTTTTGGATCTTTGTGGCGAAAATCCAAAGACTGTGATCGAGCGGCTAGTGACTGGTGATGAAACTATGATCTTGTATTATGATCCACAAAGCAAGCGCGAGTCAATGAAATGGCGTTATAAGGGTGAAAAGCCCCCTAGAAAGGCAAAAGTGCAACAATCGACTAAAAAACTGATGTGCACAATATTTTGGGATTTTCAAGGCATTTTGATGGTGGATTTTATAGAACGTAATACAGTCGTGAACGGCGAATATTATGCTTCTTTAATATATAAATTACGAGACAAGATAAAGGAAAAACGAAGAGGCAAGCTGTCTAAAGGTGTCCTGTTGCTCCATGACAACGCCCCTGTTTATACCGCTGGTGTTTCGAAGGATGCAGTTCGTCAATGCGGGTTCACAGAAGTTCAACATCCACCTTACAGTCCAGACATGGCCCCGTCCGACTATTATTTATTTCCAAATTTAAAGCGGGACTAAAGAGGAAGAAAATTTTCAAGCGATGAAGAGTTACAGGCGGCCGTCTTCAGTCATTTTGAGGATAAAAAATGTGATTATTTTTATAAAGGTTTAGAGATGTTGATTCACAGATGTCAGAAGTGTGTTAGTATTCATGGTGATTATATTGAAAAGTAAAATTGGTTTCGTTTCATTTCCTTCATTGGTTCATAGTTAGGCCAATTCATTTTGGGACCGCTTACGTAATAGCAATCATACTATTTATTGCTTATCTATCAGCTCAGTTAACGTAAACTACTATAACAATAAAAAAAACCGATGGAATTAATTAATTTGTGGTCGTGGTGTGCAAGAATATAAAATAAGGTAACAAAAATATCGATATTATTAATAAACATATATTTGGTACTACTTGGTTTTTTGTTTTTTTTTTTCTGAAGGGCCATTAGTTCTACCAAGACCTATTTCAAGTATATCCATTAATTACTGGACACCCGATATATAACTTCCTTTTTAATCAATACTCCCTACAAATGAATACACTCCATTATTGTATATCTCATAACGCATCATATCTTTAACTCCTCAATTTTTTCCAGAACTTTTTACCTGCACAAGGCAACTGCATCAACGGAGGCGAAGATTTACCACCTCCGCCTGAACAAACTTCCGTCCGCCTTACTATGGAACGCACCACGCAAACTGAAAGAAGGGTACCTCGTTGGAGACAGCTGCTTTACTGTCTGGCAGGCGATGACCGCTACCGACGTCAACGGCAAATAGAAGCTGGCAAGTCATTACCAGTAATGTAAAATCGTCTAGAAACAAATATAAAAAACAGACCATGATCAATATTTGCACGAGAAACGACGAACATTTTTGCTTATGGACAACGATCGTTTTAACAATGAATCATGTATTCATTGCCTTCTTTACTTACATTCACATTGTTATTTATTAACTTAAAGACGTTTTCCTTCACCGCAGAGAACGTGGTAAATCCATACGAAATGAATTACAATTTACTATTTTATCATAAGTGTCGGCCGAGATCGAACCCGAGTCTGTGTTCAGTGAAATTTGTGACGGTCACTCAGTACGGCCACGGCTTTAGTATTTACGTAAATATAAGAAGTCACCTAAATCTAGTTTTTGTTTTTGTCAGTGCTTGACTGTAACCCCACCTGGTGTTTTCCGTCAAATAAGTTATGACCTGGCTGAATATAAAAATAAAATAAGTAATTGAACTATTTTATTTAAGCAACTGTAATTTTTAATTTACTTTTAGGTATTGTATCCCACGAATAACTTTTATCATCATCTTGTACCTTATTTTTACTCGTATTTGTTATTTCCTTCACTAATTTTATTGTATTGTTTCAATTTTTACTAGGTAAACGTGGCCACATAAACAGCGTGTCGCACATCGATAAAGCTGCCCGCATCCTTTTTCCAGCTTCGTTTGCGCTGCTCAATCTCTTTTATTGGATGATCTACGCCTTTTCAAGCGACGACTTCGCGTGGAGCGACAACCCTATGAACACACTCTCTCATTAACTTTTACAATTAATACCTAATCCAAAGTTTAATCAAGGAGTAGATACGTTTAAAATTTATAAAAACATTAAAATAGGATACGGACTTCGAAACTGAACAGTCGAAGATTCATTGATTTCACCAGTAGACTACCGTCATGAACCACTCCTAACAAGCATTTTAAGCTTAATTGGAATGGGTGTAGTATATAAGATACTCGGACTACAGTCGTCAACAGGAACAGGTTACTATAATAATTATAGTAATGTTCAAAACGTTACTAGTATTATTTTAAATAGATTAGAATAGAATTAGAAGTGTGGTTTGCAAGATGATGTTGTGACCAGGATTAAGAAAGGAATGCTTCGGTGGTTTGGTCATGTGGAAAGAATGACAAAGAAAATTTATGTTGTAGAAGTGAACGGCAGAGTCGGAAAGGGACGTCCTAGGCGAAAATTTATCGATCAAATTGGAGATTTATTGAAAACGGGCCAAATTAGGAGTACCCTTAACCGACGAGCATGTATGTGTGTGGGTATATGGGTGTGAAGGAGGCGAGATAGGTATGTCAGGATCGTGCCAAATGGAAGTCTGTAGTCTCTGCCTACCCCTCTGGGTGACAGGCGTGAGTGTTTATGTATGTTATGTAAAATAGAACACTTTTATTCAATACAGATTCTTACATTATACTTAATTGAAGACTTTTTTTTCACTTGTTCGAAAAATACCTCTGCTCTATTTTAGATAAGGTAACTTTATTTCATATTTGCTTAAAAACAAACTGTCGTAAATGAAATACAACTGCATGGCATATTTGCCGTGCCAGCTACCAGCTCCGCCGATAGGGCACGTTCTCGTGATCCACAGCTGTTACATAGTTTTTGTCCTGAATTGCCAGTCTAATTTCTTTCCATATTAAATTCATATGCACATATTTAAGACTGACTGATTTAATACTGTAATGGAAACTGAATGGAAATGAACTAAACATATACATAAATAATAATAAACAGTATTCTATACCCTAGATGATACATAATAATACATAAACACGCCTGTCGCCCAGAGGGGTAGGCAGAGACTACGGACTTCCATTTGGCACGATCCTGACATACCTCCCTCGCCTCCTTTACATCCATATATCCACGCATACACGCCCGTTGGTTAAGGGTACATCTAATGTGGCCCATTTTCAAAATATCTGCAATTTGGTGGATAAACTTTCGTCTAGGGCGTCCCTTCCCGACTCTGCCGTTCACATCTGCCATATAAATTTGCTTTGTCACTCTTTTCTCATTCATTCTTTCTACATGACCAAACCACCGAAGCATTCCTTTCTTAATGCTGGTCACATCATCTTGCATACCACATTTTTTCCTTATCACACAATTTCTCACCCCGGCATTCAGATTCAACCCTAGCATACCCCCTAAAAACAGCATTTCTACAGCATTTATTATTATTTATTTTCTACTTTCATGCTTCTTCTGCCACACCCAACTTTCACTACCATACATTAAAGTAGGGATTAACACAGCATTATGAATTACCCTAAATGAATTGAGACAAACTCACTACCAGATACCATAAATTCAATACATAACCAGAAGATAATATTAAAGTAATACAATCATAGTTTAATTTTATCGTGTTTGTGTATTAAAATTAATAAATAAATAATTCATCACGAATCATTTATTTTAACATTCATAGAAAATTTTCTCATCATGACTACGTATAAGGAACATCTAGCAATAGACAGTTAACCAAATGATGGTAATAATCATCATGTTGATGACAATGTTATTGCACTATCGGTTCACCAATTATAAGGTTCAACAACTTTCTATTTAGTCCTCGTGTGGTTGTCGACTTTGCCGTCTAGTGACTGCTTAATAGAATCCACTATCGAATTTTGTCCTGCAGATGTTTTAAGTAAGCAAAAGATGACAGTGTCACCAGCAAATAGAAGCCAGATGTAAAATACTCAGACGGGAGATGGAAATAGCGTTTAAGGTTTGATACATTTACCCCCTTATATAAAAAAAAACATTTTTAAACGCTTGTTAGTTAAATAGTGTTTTGTCTCATTCTGACATTTGCGAGACGCTTGTTGCTAGAAAGCGACAAAACACTATTTAACCAATCAAGTGTTTAAAACTGTTTAAGAATAAGGGGGTTAGTACTGCGGTTGTTGTCTTCCTTAAAATCGGTGAGGCCCATCATATCCATACGACACGTGGTTACGACATAATGAAAATCTAGCAATTTAATGTTAAGTACCTTAAAAAATTCCTTTCGGACCTAATTTCAGTCACGACATCCAGTCTCTACGGAGATGACTTGAGGACAAGGTTATTATGCACGAATGAACACGCAATCACACTCTCTATTCTCCCACAGCCATAGTCCGATGCGACGACAATCCGAGACGACCGAAGAGAGATCAGCCGCAGGACCAACGGCTTTACGTGCTTTCCGAGGCACGGAGGTGAAACACTGCCAAGTGTTGATTCCGGGCTTCTACTGAGCATTTCTTCATAGGAAAATCCAATACCTGACGTTGGCCCGAGCCGGATCTGAACCCGAGACCATATTATCAGTATTCACACTTAAGACCAGTAGACCAACGCAGTTTACCAAAGATAGGTATTTATAAACATTAAAACTCATTTTAGATCATCATAAGGTATATTAAGTTTTCAGCTATGTATTATGTAGTAAAACAAATTTCGGAATATGTCTCTTAAATACATAAAACAAAACGATAATATACACAAAGCATTATTCTAGTGTGAATTAACAATTGCTGTAGGCCCTCTTCATGTACTGGTTTCAACGTAGACTCCATTTTTCGATTAATTTTGTGACAAATTTTTCGCCGTTGTAATAAAGTGAAAAAAGCTGTTCATAGGTGTCACAGTAATAGGTACAAAAACTAATAACATATAGCCGACAATTCCTTTTGCATTATTACTAAACGTAAGGTTCCTATCTGCACAGAAATCCGACTAAATTAGTAATAACGTCTTACCTATTTTCTGCCACAAGAAACTGTGTACCTACTATGTTCCGCTATGAAGAGTAAAGAAACCACTATACTAAAAGACTATAAGGCTTTTCATCTCAGTCGTCGATGGTGAAAGCATATCTTCGGATTTTGTTTAAAATCGACTAAGGGATTATAGGTGCCATTTACTATTAGGTGCATTGTAAACTAAGTTGACACTAATTACAAAAATTGTGACTCATATTTTAATTTCAAACACGCATGATCTGACATTTAACGGTTATCTGTAAACATTTTCGATGTTCGCGAATCTTATAAGGTCCTAAGCACCGAACGGCCAGTTTCAACAGAGACTAGCTATCACGTAGGGTATACAATGTACGAGTGTTTGCTAGCCCAGGAGCACTCCCTATTTCCTTACTCTCAAAATTTCTTACACTACTAGAGGCTTTACGCGCTTTCCGTGGCACCGGGCCGAGTTTATTTCACACTCAGCGAATCAGGCGAGTGACGGTTATTATTTTATAACGAGAACAAAGTATTGCTACGAAAAAATATATCGCCACTTGTTTTTACTTAAGAAAATATAAAAAGTGATAGTTAATATTTCTTCCATCAATTCCTTTTAATTAAAATTAAAACTGATAACATTTAATTTTTACAATTCATTGGTTCTAGTTCCATTGAACTCTTCGACATCGTCAGCACCAATACCAATGTTTATGTAGATACAGTCACCCATGATGATTATAAATATAATGTCTAGGTACCAAAAAGTTCTTTACAAAAAAACAAACCAATCTTGTTGTGATGTATTCAACGCAGTGTGGTCCTGGGTCTAACCAATCCTCATAATATAATGCTACCAGCTATCGTTTTATTGGAGTCAACGTGAAGCCAGACTTAAAAAGCAACTACGAAGTAAGCTACCTTGTCGTAATAATTTGTGCAACATAGAAATGTAGCTTACTGAAATATACTTAATGTATTATCGTTACAGCGTATCAAAAGTGATATAATATATTGGCACGCATATAAATTAGCAACGTACATGGGCACTATTTTGATGTTAATATAAAGCTTGAATTTTACTTACTTCTTTATTAGTCATAAATAAAATTTTATAGACGCTGCATGTCTTGTTATACACTACCTAATATAAATACAATAGTCTATATATTGCTTGACTATTCTTGTCGATATGTAAATTAACTTATTATTTTCTGACATGAAGCTACACAACAACAAAATTCTAATATTAATATT